ATTTCCCCACACACCACAAAAAAAAAAATTTTTAATAAAAAAAAAAAAAAAAAAAATTTAATTTAAAAAAATGAAATTTACCACACTCACCAAATTTTTACAAAGGAATAAGAAATTGCGAACATCATTATTAAAAATTAAAATAATAATAATTTAATTATTCAATTTAATTATATAAATAATATTTTTTAATTAATAAATAAAAAATTAAATAAAAAATAAAATAAAAAAGAATTTGAGAGAAATTATTATACAATTAAACTCACACAAAAAAATGATTATTTAAAATTAATTTAACAATTGAAAATTTTAATTTAGTTATTATTTATTTATAAAAAAGGTTTTTTTTAATGAATTTGAATAAATTAATTAATATTATAAAAAAGATCCCATTCCGAGATATACAAAGTTATATTACATAGTTTAGTAAGAAATCAATAATATTTTGTATTTAAGCTTAATAGAAAAATAAAAATAACACAATTATTGGTTTGTTTTTAATAAAAAAAATGTAATTTTGTTTTTTATTTTTAAATATTAAAAAGACAGAGTTTAACAATATCCACACTTGAAATGTTGGACCATTCTTTTAACAAGATACATTGTTCTATTATATCCCACTCCTAACTTGATCGGTTGTCTGTACCTAACAACTTAGCACCAGAAAAAGTTCTTTCTATTAACTGATGAAGGAGCAACTGAAAATAAATTGGAATATACAAAACTTTTTCTTTCCAAAATATTATTGTATCTTTCTTTAATCTAAACTGTCTTTTAAATACTTTTGAATTTCCTTAAACTTCACTTTCATCCTCATTTTCATCTTCAATTGCAGGTTTGGTAACTTAATTGGTGAACAGCAGATACATAAATTATTTGAAGATGATGATGGTGTAGAAGATGTTGATTAAATTTAAATAATGAATTTCAAATTGATGATGAGTTATTACTTGTAGTGATGAATTTGGTTGTTTGTTTATCATCTTGATCGACTTTAACAAAAGAAATATAATTGTATTATTTTAGTTTTTGAATCAATTGATGATAAATTTTTATTAGATTCACCCTCTGTTGAATGATCGCACTTTAAGTTTGAATCATTCATTGAACTATTTGAATCTGATTTGAATTTAAGCTGCTATTGGAGGTAGTGTTAATTATACTTTTGAAGTTGATGTATCTATTATTTTTTGTGTTGTTTCTGTTGCTTTTGTACTGTACTTTAAAAGATGGTTTGGCAAGTGAAGTTGGTAGAACTTAAGATAAATATTTATTTCTCCAAATTAGTATTGGAGGTAAATGTTGTGGAGGTACCAATGGCGAGGTGTTTTTTTTATTAAATGGTGATGGTGGTGAATTTAATGTTTGGTTTGGATGAACTCTACCACCAATGGAATTATTATTGGCACTTACTAAAGAATTTGGTGGTTGACATATAATATTAATAAAAATAAAAAAATACAATATAGAGATTTATAATTATATTAAAAAATATGTTATTGTATGTAAATATTTTGATTAAAATAATTATTACAATGAAAATTTTTATTAATGTTAAAAAAAGGTGAATTTTTTAATTTTTAATTATTGAAAATATTTTTAAAATAATTTAAAAATTATAAATATGTGTATTTTAAATAAATTTAGATTTTTCATACTAATAATGCTCATTTAAATAAGTTTTAATCTTTTTATATTTAATATTATTTTTTTTTTTTTTTTTTTTTTAAATTTGTATTTTAATTTTTATTAAATCATCTTGTTGTTATTTTTTTGGGTGAATTATCTTTCACAAATTTAACAATGTATAAAAAAAACAAAATAAATTTAATTTTCATTTCAATTAAAAAAAAACCATATTAAAAAGATAAAAACTATATAAAATGTCAATTATTAGTAAATATTAATAATACTATATTTAAAATTTAAAAAAATATTAACTTTTATTTTTTCATAGAATCTATTTCATCAATGAACCCAGCTAACGGTGCCTCATCTAAATCAATGTTAAGCTCATCTGGAAGTGTCTCATTCTCTGATAATGAATCAGTTTGGTTCGGTAATAGCTTAGGTGGCGGTTCATGTTGTTTCGATCCATGTTTTAATCCATGCAGTGGTGGTAACAGTAACATTATTAATATTGATATCGATATTGGTCGTCATCGTAGAAGATGCTGTTAAATTTACTCTAAAAATAAATTATATTTATATATATTACCTTAAACTTATTCGGGTAATTATACATATATGCATTTATATTATATCTGTGAAAAAAGAAATAAAAAAAAATAACACCCTTATATAAAAAATTTTATTTTATTTTATTTTCTTTGTATTTTTAAATTGGTTCCATCATCATATTTATCGAAATTGGGTAAATTAATGATGGTCAAACCATTTATTTTTTCCTTTTATTTATTTTTTTATTTAAACCAAAAATCTAATTTAATTTTGTATCTAATTTTGATTGCTTTTAAACCAATAATTAAAAATATATACACAAGATAAATTTATTTTATTTATCTTTCTTTTTCTTTTTCTTTTGGAATTGATATTTTTCATTTTTTTTCTCTATCTTTGGATCTTGACCTCCCTCTGTCCCTATCCCTATCTCGGTTTCTATGTTTTTCTCTTTCTCTTTCTCTTTCTCTTTCTCTTTCTCTTTCTCTTTCTCTTTCTCTTTCTCTTTCTCTTTCTCTTTCTCTTTCTCTTTCTCTTTCTCTATCTTTGAATCTTGACCTTTCTCTGTCTCTATCCCCTATCCCTATCTCTGTCTCTATGTTTTTCTCTTTCTTTTTCCCTCCTTTTTTCTTTTTTTTTCTTTTTCTTTTCTCTTTCTTCTTTCATTAGTTGCTATGTTATCTATTTATATATCTATTTTAACCTAATAATATGCTGGCCTCTTAGGATATGTAATTTCTTTATTTTTACAATTTCTGATTTGAGTTTAGTATTTTCATTATTTAATAGGTGTTTAAATGTTGTCATTTCGTCAAACTTTGTTTGAATTAACATTATCTATTGATCATTTCCACCTGGTTTATTGGAACGCTTTATACGGTCAGTAAGTTTAGCATTACCATCTTGATATTCGTCTTAAACAAATTCTAAATCAATAACCTATTTTTGAGATCTCCTAAGAGTGATTCTTTGAGGGCACTAAATTTTAAAAGTTGAAGATTTGTTTATTCTCTTAAAATATTTAACTTTTCTTCCATTATTTGTCTTATCTCCTCTTCGATATTTCAATTTTCAATTTTAATTAAGTATTTTCATTTCTAACTGTTTCCAAATGAACTTTTTGAGTCAGAAATCTCTAATTTTCTAAGTTGTTCAGCCTGTAACATCATTTCAGTTGGAAGCTCGTCATTGAAATTTCTTGGATCTACAACAAAAATACTGCTATTTCTTTGACTTTCTAATAACTGTTTTGTTTCTAAATCTTTTTTTCATTACTAAATTCTCTTTTGCAATTCTATAAATTTCTTTTTGAAATAAATGCTTTTCTAATGAAATGTATTTTACTTTTAATACTTGATCGTTTTCCCTAATGGCAGGGGCACTTGAAGCAGTTTGGGAGATGGTGAAAATGTTTTTTAATGGCTATGAACTGATGGCTGATGATGAACTACTATCTGATGAGCCTCTTGAAGTCCTAATATTAAAACATTTTATAAATTAATATAGTGCTAAACCAAAGGCAGTCTTCATTAAGAAATAACAGTCACACCCAAACATCACCAAATTCGACTTATTATAATATAATTAATAAAACGCCTCACATTTTTCAGGACCATCACTGCATCGGGTGCTGCTGCAGGCTGTGCTGCTGAAGGTGGTAGGTTGCTCTTCAGAACTGGAAAGACTCTTCGAACGCATATTTTAAATATATTTGATAAGCTAAAACCATTAGACTGTTTCACAATTTGAACAATATTAACAAAAGCTGAAGTTTACCCTTTTCCTTATCTAAACTATTTGTGTTCTATCACTGTTGCTTGGGCCAAGGCAAATATATTGAGATTCATATAAATGGTTGATTAGATTGAATATCTTCATTAGTGTTTAGTATTTAGTAGGATCTAAGTTTAATCTTTATTTGATTTACTCGAGATTGAAAGAATTTGAGTTTCTGCGACTTTGTGACTTTTTATGATAGTTATTGATATTAGTTTTGAGATTATTATAATATAGAAGCAATAATTCGTTGTTGGATTAATTAGGCTAAATATTTATATAATTGATTAAAATCCTTTCATTCATGATATCGACGACAGCAGATCCTGTAAGGGTATTGAATAATTAATTAATTGGTAAATCTGTCTTTTGAAAAGTTATTTTAATTTAAGTTAGTAATTCTGTTTCTATTTCTTCAACGATGCAAATTTCTATATGTATATGGGTTTGTTGTTGTTGTTGTTGTTGTTTTAAAATAATGTATTAATTTACATACTTGTTCTAGAAAGGTTTTAAGACATATTTTCAGTAATGTTAAAATTTTTATTATTATTTTTTGGATGTGCTATGGTTTACATTATTAAAACTATTTATGTGTTTGTTTGTTTGTTGTGTATTGAAAAAAAAAATTAAAAAAAAATTAAAAAAAAAAATAAATTTTTTTTTTTTTTTAAAAATTATTTGATTTTTAAAAATAAATATTATTTTAAAAATTTAAAATGGCTATGATAACGTGTTGATATTTACTAAAAATTGGGGGTATACTTTTGAAAGAATGACAGACAACACCTAAAGACAGCTTATAATGAATATGAAATAAGTAAACAATTAAATCAGATATTCTTCCCCCTCCTGGGATATATACACAAATATTTAAAGGAGCAACTTTACAGAGTTACAGATCGATATGATTACTATTAAATTATTTATACTATATGAATATCTTCGGCCTTTGATTTGGCCAATTTAAAACCAATAAAAAAATAATAAAAATAATAAAATAAAATATGAAAATAAAAGTTTTTTAAAAATATGTTATAAATGTTAAATCTTTATTTTTTATTAATTAATATTTAATCTATAATTATAAAACTAACTCTTTATGAAATATAGAAATGAATGATAATAATAATTAAATTGTACTAAATATACTTTTTTATCTGTTATTTGTAAATTTAATTATGGTGAAGTAATATATGGCTTGAGAATACTTGGGAAATCTTTTGATAGGTTCAACAATTTGGGCTGAATGAGTATTTGGTGATTATAAAAATAAAATTAATGGCTCGTCTTTTAAGTTATACAATAATTAAAATTTGTTGTTTGCTTAATCTGTGGTACTTGCACTATAACCAGAATATCTTCTGAAGTATTCAATGAAATGATTGGTGAACTAATATTTGTAATGTTGTTTGCTTATCATCTTGATCTACTTTAACAACAGAAGCAAGTATTCGATAACTTTTCAGTTGAAATATAATTGCATTCTATTGTTTTAGTATTTGAATCAATTGATGATAAATTGTTTTTTGATTAATCGTCTGTTGAATGATCGATTATAATTTGAATCATTCATTTTTAAATTTTTTTATTTTTGAATTTACAAGTTCTGTACTCCAGAAGATGGTTTGGCAAGTGAATTTGGTAGAACTAAAGAGATATATTTATATCTCCAAGCTGGTAATGGTGGTAAATGTGGTGGAGGTACCAATGGTGAGGTGTTGTTATTTATATAAAATGTTGATGGTGATGTTGAATTATTTGATGATGATGAAGATGGTAGTTTACTAGTTGAGGATTTATTTGAATTGTTTGATTCTAATTTAGCACTACCACTATTACTTCTACCACATCTAAAAAATCTTGCAATACGAGCACCCAACTTTTCAGATTTTTTTGATTTAACTCCTTCGAGCTCATTTTTAATACCTTCATTTAGTATTGTTTGGCTTTGATGATTAATTGGTATTTTAGATTGACTCTCTTGATTACCTGATATATTATTTTCTAAACCAGAAATATGATGGCCTCTGAGGGAGTGAAATTTTTTTAATCCTTCAATTTCAGAATTGAGTTGAGTATTTTCAATATCTAATTGAATTTTTAATGTGGTCATTTGGTCGAGTTTTGTTTGGATTATTTTTTTCTCTTCATCATTTCCATTTGGTTTATTGGAACTTTTCAAACGGTCTGTAAGTTTAGCATTACGAGCTTGATATTCTTCTAATATAAATTCTAAATCAATAACCTCTTTACATCTATTCTCGAGATCTCTTAAGAGTGATTCTTTGACTGTACTATTATATCTTTGACCTTCTTTTAATTTTTTTATTTCTAAATCTTTTTCTATTTCTAAACTCTCTTTTGCAATTTTATAGCATTTAAATTCATATTCAATCTCTTTGATTTTATCTTTAAGTGCTTGATTTTCGGCTTCTAAAAATTGTTGATTGCATTGAGCTGTATTAGCATTATTACCATTTTTTTCTTCTAAAGCAATCAAAGAGATGATTGGCGAGCTATTTTTTGTAGTTTCGGTTGTTGTTGCTGTCTTATCATCAAGATTAACTTTATTAACGGAGGAAAGCATATTTATATATACATCATTTGATTTTACCTCTAACTCTTGTGATGAGGATAAAATAGATGCATTCTAATTGTAAAAAGGTAAATATTAGAATTTAAATATTTAATTTTTTATTTCTATAGTTACTACTTACAGATGTTAAGAATGATACTAAAAAGGTTTCAACAGGAATTAATTCTTTTTTTAATACACAATCATGGACAAATTCTTTAACCAAAATTGGGATACCCAAAGAAAGAGCTTGTTCAACTTTTTGGGTCTTCTCTACATAGCCTTCTTTAGTGGTGATTAAATGTGTGGCCTTTAATGATAATTAGTATTATTTTTAAATTTTAATTTAAATTAAACAAGTTATATAATTACCTTTGTGCATGAGTAGCAGCTTTTGCCTCCATTCTTTTTAATAATTTTAATTAACTGATTTTTTCTTTTGAGGTTAATGGTTTTGTCAAAAACAAAAGCGCAATTTTCGAAAATATTTGAGTTTATTTGATTTTCATCTTGATGAATTTCTGTTGAGCTCGATAGATCTTGATTATTATTATTATTGGAGTTGTACATTTTTTTATTGGATACTGTATCAGAAAAGATTTTTGAAAGGAAATATAGGAATGTTTCAATGATAAGGGTTATAAAAAAATAATCTTTAAAAAAATATTATGTGATTATAATTTTGAAAGCTTATTATTTTTAAAGAATTAAAAAAAAAAATATAATTTATAAAAAATAAAAAATATAATTTATAAAAAATAAAAAATTAGAACTGTTTAAAATATTTTTTTTTTTTTTAAATTAAAGAATGTTAAAAGTTGTATTTCATTTTTCTTTATATTTATTTAAAATTGAACACTTTAATTAAATCTAATATTTTAAATAAAAATTTTATTGAATTCTCTAAAGAATGATATATTAAACACCAAAGTAACTTTTTCATTTTTAAAAAGTATTTAATAATATTAATAATAAAAATAAAAAATAAAAAAATAAATTGTAATAATTAATAAAAAAAATACAATATAGAGATCGATAATTAAAAATATGTTATTGTATATTAAAATTTTGATTAAAATAATTATTACAATGAAAATTTTTATTAATTTAAAAAAAGGTGAATTTTTTAATTTTTAATAATTATAAATATGTGTATTTTAAATAAATTTGAATAGAAATAAAAAAATAAAGTAGATTTTGAATCTTCAGGTTTTTCATACTAATAATTCTTTGATGCTCATTTAAATATATTTTAATCTTTTTATATAAAATATTTTTTTCTTTTTTTTTTATTTTTTAACAAAATTTGTTTATTTAATTTTTATAAAATCATCTTGTGGTTAAAAGTTATTTCTTTGAGTGAATTATCTTTCACAAATGGTAAAATGGAAATAATTTTAAATGTTTTACCTTTAGAATAAAAAAAAAATAATAAAATTCATTTTAATAAAAAATTATTTATTTTAATTATTATACAAAATTTTATTTATTTTATTATTATTTTCTAATAATAAAGTTATTTTTTATTTTAAGATCTAATGTTGAATAAAAATTTAGATTTGCAATTGATTTTGGTGAAGGCGGTTGGATAGTAGATGGATATAATTTGATAAACCAATTTGAAAACAATAATTACAAAAACTAAACAAAAACCCCAATATTTAATTTTTTACATAAAATGAGCTGATACTGAAAATGAAACGATATAAACCCCAATGTTTGAATGTGACTTTAAATGAACTGATACCAAAAAAGAAAAAAAAACCCCAATGTTTAATTTATGACTTAAGACGTGTTGACCTTGGAAAAGAATAAATAGAGCCCCGATGTTTGATTTGTGAACTATATAATGGCTAGACTGAAAAAGATAAGAAAAATCCAGTGTTTGATTGCGACCCTAAAATGAGCAGATATGGAAAAAGAAAAATACAAGAACCATAATGTATAGTTTGAGACTTGAAACGTGTATTGTGACCTAATATGAGCAGATATTAAAAAAAAAAGAAAAAGACAAGAACCCTTATGAATATTTTGCGACTTGAAACGTGTTGAGTTTGAATAAGAGTAAACAAAAACCCAATATTTGATTAGAGAATTAAAACATATGTTGATACTGAAGAAAGTTATCTTAAGAGTTGTTATGACGACCTTAAATTTAAGCATTAGTTACTTTCTGCATAAATTATTAAAAGAAATTAATTAATATATATTTATTAAGTACAGATATGAATGTGTAAATTACTTACTATTATGTCGTGAAACTCTTCTCTACAATTTGGGCAGGTTTTTATACGTCTAGACCATTGTTCGATACAATTGTAACAAAATTTATGAAGGCAATCGATTATACCCATTTCATTTGTATCGACAAAATTAAGACAAATAGTGCATTTGTCATCACTTTCTGAACGTTCCCTTTCCAAATTCTCTCTTTCTAATTGTTCTCTTTCTTCCCTCTCTCTTTCTTCTCTATCCCTTTGGATTCTTTCTTCTCTTTCTCTCTCTTCCCTTTGTCTTTCTCTTTCTTCTCTTATTCTTTGTATTTCTTGTCTTGCTCTTTCCCTTTCCTCTCTTTCCTCTCTTTGTCTTATTTTTTCTGCTCTTTCTCTATCTTTTTCGATTCTTTGTAGTCTTGATCTTTCTGATTTTTCAATTTGTTCTCTTTCTTCTTGCATTATTTCAAATCTTTTTCTTTCAAGACCTTCTTTTATTTGTCTCTCTCTTTCTAAAGATTGAATTCTTTCTATTTCTGCCCTTTCTCTATATTCTTTTGTTATTCTTTCTATTGTTTTAAGTCTTTCCAATTTTTCCATTTCTTCTCTTTCTTTTTCTTTTTTTAATTTTTCCATTTCAACAAATTGCTTTACTTTATTTAAACTCTCTTCATCTTCGAGTTTATGTTTTTTGCAAATTTGTTTATCACCATTACATATTTCATTATCTAAATCCAATGGTCTCTTCTTCATTGGATGATTGCCAATTGATGTAGATGGAGCTGCAGATTTTTTTGATACAATTGCTGATGGACTAGATGGAGCTGCAGATTTTTTTGAAACAATTGGCGATGGAGTAGATGGAGCTGCAGAGGTTTTTGATACAATTGGTGATGGGGCAGATGTAATTGGTGGTGGATTTGGGGTATTAATTAATTGAGAAGAAATTGAGTTGAAAAATTGAGATTGTGGTTGATGGTCTGATGGGGCACATGTGGAAACAACTTGACGTGGTGGGGACTGATGGTTTGGTTTTATATTTTGTGGGTTTTGGTGAATATTAATTTGATCAGCTAAATTATTGTTGATTGTGTTATAATATTGTGAATAGGTTATATTTCTATTATTATTGTAATTATTGTTGTAATTATTATTGTTGTTACTATTGTAATTGTTATGGATTGCAAAATATTTATTTACTAAATAAACTAATGAAAAAATAATAATAGCAAATAATATAAAAAAAACAATCATTAATTGATCCATTTTTAAATGGTAATTAATAAATAGTTATTGAATGTGAAGATTATTATTATAAAAAAATTAAAGTATATGATTATTTGTATGTATATGATTATTTGTATGTGATTAAAATAATAATGAAAAAAAAAATCCTTTATAAATACTATAAAAAAAATGTAAATTTAAAAAAAATAAAAAAAAAAAAAATTATCGAAACACTAAAAAAAGAAAAAAGTAAATTAAAAAAAAAATTAAAAAAATTAAAATTTTAATTTTTAAGCTCTACCACAAAAAGAAATGGAATCTGAACAATCATTGATAAAAATTAAACATTGTGTTAAAGTAAAAGAAAAAGTGTGTGGTTGATTATTAAAATGAAAAAAAATTTTAAAAAAGTTAAACTGTGGTTAAATGTATATAGAAAAAGTGTTTGGTTGATTATTATAAAAAATTAATTAATAACAGTTTTTAAAATTATATGAAAAAATTCCTTACTACTATAAAATATTCAAACTTTCGATTTCATTAAATTATTATAATTTTATAACTTTATAAATAAATTATTTAATAATAATAATTTATTCAATAATCTGTTGGAACAATTATTAATCTCTTCTGGTATATTCATTGTTACTATAATTTCTTAATTATTATATTTTGGTGATGAAAAAAAAAATAAAAAAAAATATTATAAAAATAAAAAAATTAAAAAAAAAATAAAAAAAATTTAATTTTATATTTACTTCAAATCAAAATATAATTATTTATTTATTTTTAATTTCCCAAAAAAATAAAATATATAGTTATACCATATATGTTTATTTATATTTTTAATTTTTTACAAAAATAAATTTACTTTTTTATAAAAAATACCAAATCTAATATATATACGTTTGATAGGTCATCTTATAACATATTGATAGTAACCTGCACATATTTATGTGGTGCTTTTACCATTTTTAATAGCCCCATAACCTAAAATAGTTGCTTTTAAAGATGAAGAACAGGAGGTATCTACAGTCATTGATTGGCCATGAAAATTTTAACAATAAGACACCCTACTTGATATTGTAAACTACTAAAAATATTTCCTGAGGTCGTTTTACTTTACCATTAGAAAACGGTAGTCAAATGAAAAACATAAGAATTTGAACCTCTCAAAGATATAGGATCAATTTATGTATCATCCAATGCTTCCCAAACACCTTTATTATCAAAATTAATAATTAAAATATTTTAATATATTAATAAATATTAGTTTAAAATATTTATATGGTGACAGGGATAACTACCCTATAAATTAATATAAAACTTTGAACAATATTATTACTTTAATATATAATAAATAAAAATTAATAAAATTACTATTAAAATGATAAAAAGGGAAGATTATTTATTTTTTATTTTTGGGAGTTTTAAATATGAAATCCATTTTAACTTCCAAATTAAAAAAGTGAAACTAATAATACAAATAAAACTGAATAAATGGAAAAACCTAATTTGAAAGCTGATGAAATATTATCTGAATCACTATCACTATTATTTGGTCTTGGTGTTGATGGTTTTTTGGTTGGTTCTACATTTTCTTGGGTTATTTCTGCATTTGTATAAGCATATAAGCCTTGGATATATAAATCTAATCTATAAATACCAACAGTATCGACTGATTTTGGGAAGTTAAAAGTAAGTGAATCTGGAGAAACCTTGGATACGGTACATAAGATATTGCCAACAACCAATTTAACATCTGAAATTTGTTCTGTTTTAAAAACACCAACAATTGTGACTGTGCTTCCTGTGTTGACTATTTTGATGGTGCTATTGTGAATCTCTATATTCTCATCTGAATAAACAAATGTTGCAATATTTGATCTTTGACCACCAACGTCGACTTGAATATTAAAACTTTCACCAACGGTTAAGGTTGTTTCTTTTAGTTCGTTTGGATCAAAAGAGAAATAATTGATTTCGGAGTGGAAAGCAGAGACATAAAGTTCCTCAAAGTCATTTACGAAAACAAAAGTTTTTTTATTTTCGTAATCAAAACCTGAGCCTACAAAATTAATAGCACCATTATCAAGATCGGTAAAGTAACCTTCGATTGTTGGTTTAATATAATTGTATAAAAATTCTATTGTTTTTGGACCATTATAAAATGAGATGGTGGAAGTTTGATTGATTGAACCGACGCCTGGTCTGATAGAGAATACTATTTTCTTATGGGGAATAACATATTTAAAAAGTTGGATATTATCAAGTGCGATATCCTCCTCATCAAAACCCAAGTTATTACCAGTAATTGTAATATCAAGACCACTGGTATCAGCAAGGAAATATTGTGGTACTGGATCAATAGAAAAGTTTGCTATAGGTTTTAAATAAATAATATATATTAATAACATCATTACCAAACCATAGTTTCTTAAATAAAAACCAATTACTTACGACATGAGCTTTCAAAATTTGTAAAACTGTTTGGAAGGATAGAACCTCTTACTATATTAGATTTTGTACAAAGATAACATGATGGAATTTTAGTGGCAAAAAAGTTATGTTGAATTTCTACTTTAGTAAAATCAATTAAACATAAATCTTCTGGTAAATCACCACTAACCTATTTTATAAAAAATATAATATTATAAATAAAAACTAAATTAGAAAATTACTTTTTTAAAATTATAATTTTAATATTGAATTTTTTAAAAAAATATACAAACCTTTGAATAAGTAAGTGTAAGCTCTGATAATTTACTAAAATCAAAGTTTTTAAATGATACAGTTTGTTCTGGTTCAATTTCTGAAAAATCAATAATTGAAACGTTTGATAAATCTAAAGAGTCAATTTTAACATTAACAGTTTCTAACATACTATATAAAAATTGAATAAATAATTAATTTTAGTTTTTAATCTTTTAAAAACATGTATACTTACAATTCAGAGTCTTTTGGTAATTTAATACAATTGTTACATGTCTTTAAAAATTCATCAGTATTTAAAATTGATCTATACAATAGAATTTAATTAAAAATTAATTATAATACTAAAAAAAAAATAGTGTTTAAATTAAATCATTTGTACTTACATTTTTAAATTTGGGTAATTATTTGATAAATCAATAATTTGGTTAGTACTTAAAGCAAATATTTCACCAATTACAACTACAGATGATAAAGTGGTGAGTTTACTTAAATCTGGGAAATAAATGAGTTTTTGAAGATCATTATTTTTAAAAGTTAAGTATTTGAGTTGTGGTAAAGAGTTGAATGAGCCTAAATAACTTGCTGGAATAAAACCAGTACCACTGTATTCCATATCTTTCATGATGATGGTAACATCAATGACATATGGGAAAGAATCTTTAAGACTAATGAAACCACTACTTGTAACTGGGAATTGTAACTGGGTTAACTCTTCATTTCTTGAGAATGAACCTTCTACCGAGAATTGGGTAGTTTCTATAACATATAGAGTTATAACTTCTGTAGAAACCCATCTAGTGTAAAATATTCCTTGGAAATCATTAAATATGATAGTTGTTAATGAAACTGGTAAATTTACATTTTCACTGTATACTGTATCATAAAGGTCTCTATAATTATTATTGTTTATTACAAAAATAAAATAAATTATTATTATTTTTTTTTAAAATAATAATAAATAAATTTTTATTTTTTAAAAAAACTTACATAGTCTGTAAATTAGCTAAATTTGAAATTTGAGATAAAATATTTTGTGGAATGGCACATTGAGCACCCAAAACTAACTTTCTGAGCCAGGTAAATACAGAGAAATCGATATTTTTTAAATCATTTGAAGAAATAATAAGATCTGTTATTCTAAAGTTATAAATAAAAAAAAAATTAAAAAAAATAAAAATTAATATTATTTATTTATTTATTATTTAATATTTTATACCTACTCTATTTCTACAACGTGTTGGAATGAGTTTAAATCTGTTTCACAAGCAAATAAGAAACATGGGTCTTCACCATCCAATTGCAGAGCATTGATAATTAGATCTGCTTGAATTAACTCGGATTCGATAAGAACAGCTTTACTGAAGTTTATAACCAAACCCAATAAAACAAATAAAATTATTTTTAATTTATTCATTTTTTATTATTTCTTACTTTAATATTTTTATTGATAAAATTATTTTAAAATTGATAAAAATATTTTTTATTTATATTTTTTCGATTTCAAGAAAAAAAAAAAAGTTTTTTAAAAATAATTATTAAAATAAAAAAAAATCTTGTAAAATTGAAAATCATGCACCAAATTCAAATAATATTTTAAAAAAAAAACCATCAAATTACAATAATTAGAATCATTTAAAAAATCAATGTAACTGACATTGGAATTTGGGTTCTATTTTTATAAACCCTCTAAAAATTGAGAATAAGCAGCGTGATAATTTTTTATAAATCATTTTAGGGGGTCGATTATAAAAAATTAAAAAAAAAAAAACAAAAAGTTTATTTTAAATTTTATTTTATTTGAAAAGTGAAAACAAAAAAATACCCAATATTAAAGTGAGTGGGAATTCTAATTTTAATGATGAGGAAACTTCATCTGATGAGGAGGTTTGAGAGGGTGATGGTGATGGTGATGGCGATGGAGATGAGGAGGATGAAGAGTCAATTGGTGATGGTGTTGGAGGTGGTGTGTATGTGCCATATACTTGATAAACAGTGGCAATGGTATCACAGAATAAACCATCAATGGTTAAATAAAAAGGTAGATCTGTTCCTACGACTATATCTGATTTTGGGCATGTAAAAGTAAGCAAAGTATTTGATACCTCCAAAGTTGTACATTCTATAAAATAATAATCTTTTTTGATGACTATACTAACTTTTGAAGGGTCGGTAGTTGGAAAAGTGCCACTAATTACAGTTGTATCACCACTATTAAAAGCGATATCGTCGTTGATGCCAATTTGGTTTATTCCATAAACAAAAGATACCTCTTTTGATTGTTGTGAACCTGACACTACTTGAACTGAGAAAACTTGGCCTGCAGTTGGTGGTTTTTGTAAACCCGAAATATAAACAAAGATAGACGAAGCTTCACGATTTGAAAATGGAGCACTATATGGAGTATCATTATCTGACATAGTTAACATATTTGCATTTGCTTGAGATTCAGTACTAAAACCAGAGCCTACAAAAAATATTATACCATTATCTGTGTCCACATAGTATGATGAAATTTCTGGTGGTGCATAATGATAATTGAAAGATATTTGTTTTTCTCTATCATTAAAAGTGACCTTGATGGTTTTGTTTGTTGTACCTAAACCTTTTTCTGTATATATTCTAATCAGTTCATTTGGCACAGTGAAGTCCCATGAGTCAACACCTTCAACATCAACATTAAATCCTAAATCTTTACCAGAAATAACAATAACGTCTCCTCTTGTATCGACTAAGTATAAATCCTTGTATTCGATTTTAAAGTTTGCTTTAATTGAATAAATCAAATAAGTTAGAATTTAAATAAATGATAGTATTACTATTAATAAAAAATAAGGATTTTATACATACGACATGAAGCTGGGGATTCTAATCCAAATGTAGTAAATTTATTTGGTAAGATATTTGTTCTTACTGATTGATCAGAGGTGCAAATATAACATGATGGTACCTTTGTTGAAAATAGATTGTTTTTAATTGAAACACCTGTATAACCCATCTGGCACATTTCATCTGGTAAATCACCGGATAATGATGTATTTGTGATATCTAAATTTGAAAGTTTTTTAAAATTCATATTATTGAATGTAATATTCTGAGATGGTTCAATTTCCCAAAGTTTAATTTTGGTGCAATTTCTGAGGTCGACTTGATCAACATAAAATTTAATAAAACTAAATTCACTGTAAAATAAAATAATTAATATAAGTTTTCTATTTATATTTTATAATTTATATTTTTTTTTTTTAAATTAAAATAATTACCATTTTGAACCAATTGGTACTTTATAACAGTTACTACATGTTTTAAATAAACTTTTACAATTTATTAAGGAACTAAATATTTTGTAAAAATGATTAGTATATAAAAATGTTATTATTTTTTTGACACAATACATACATTTCGAAACTAGAAAAACTATTTATGAAATCAAGTGATTGACCTTGATTTAATACAAAACCATCACCGTCAATTCTAAAATAGTACAAAGGTGATCTACTAAAGTCTGGTAAATAAATTTTTTTTGAAAGTTCTTTTTTTGTGGTATTTGCATCAAATTCGAATATAACTGAACTAACTGGTAATTTTTCTATTGAACCTAAAAAACTTGATGGAATATAACTTGAGCCAAGTGTGACTTCTTTAAAATAGATAGCAACTGAAATAAGATTTGGAAATAATGTTGAGAGATCTGGGAAACCTTGGGGTGGGATTGGAAAATCGAGACTAGTTATTTTACTCTTTACAAAGGCACCACTTATTGAGAAATCAATTGTATTATGAACATAGAGTCTATCAGCATCTGCATTAACCCACTTGGTATAGAATGTACCTTTGAAATTTTCGAATGCTATTGAAACCAAACTTGATGGTAAAGAAACATCGACACCCTCTACTAAACCATAAACTGATCTATATATAAAATAAAAACAAAAGTTAGTAAATTAATTTTTTTAATTTGAAATAAATAATTTTTAATCTTACAATGAGATTAAGTTGGTATAGTTTTTAATTTGAGATAAAAGATTTAATGGTGGAATGATTTTTCTACCTAAATCTATTTGATGTACATTTTTGAAAACTGAGAAATCAATTGAAGATAAATCATAAATGTTTTCCCCACTTGGATGGATAATAATTCCCGTAATATCTCGATTAACTTCCCCATCTGTACCTGAACATGTAAAGTATGAACATATTGGGAGTGCGAGTTGGCCTAAGATACTAAATATTCTTTCTGCTTGAATTTGTTCATCTTCCGTTATATTACAATTAATTCTACTAAATAAATTTAAAATAATAAAAATACAAAATGAATATTTTAATATTTTATTCATTGTTTTGATTTCTTTTTTTTGAATGTGAAATTGCTTACTGAATATTTTTTTTTATTTTTTTTTTTTATTTTTTTTTTTTAAACAGATTATTTTTTGTGCAACTTCCAAAATATCTTAAATTTATTATAATAAAACCTTTGTTTCTAAGATGGTTTTAGTATTGTTTAAAAATTTAAAAATAGTTTAAATTTACGAAACTGAGTGTTTGGGTTAAGTGATTAATTTTTTTTAAATTTTTTATTATAATAATAATTTATAAAAAAAGATATTTTATTTGGTTGTAAAATGGTTGTGAGGTATAATACCACACAATAAATAATAAAAACAGTATTTATGAAGATAATTACTATTTTATTTTATCATCTTTTTTTTTATATTCTATATATACACAAAAGGGATAATTTTATTTATTTGTTTTAAAATTTATTTTTGAACTTTAAAAAAAAAATTTTTAAAAAAAAAAATTCAAAAAAATTAATTTTTTTTAAAATTTTTTTTTTTTTTTTTTTTTTTAAATTAATATATGCCAAAGATATATAAAGTTATATATATAATTATAAGTTTAAATAACACTGTTTAAATTTTATAAAATCCATATACCACACATATATAATACTTTCTTCAATCATATATTAATATATATCTAGAAAATCAAAATGATGATCAAATTTAACAAATCGTTAACTTTATTAATTATTTTAATTATTGGTTTAGTTTGTTTAGTTTCACCAGCATTCTCACAACAAAAACAAGCAGGTAGCACTACTACAACTAGATCAGCTGAAGATACTAAACTTTTAAAAGAATTTAGAGATTTAGCTGTTAAGGAAGGTGGTATTATTCAATTAAAAACATTAACTCAAACTAAAAAATTCTTACAAGCAAAAAATAGACCATATGAAGTTTTAGCATTATTTACATCATCCAATCCAAAATATGGTTGCGCAGGTTGTCTGTAAGTATCGATCATATTTCAAAAAAAAAAAAAAAAAAAAAAAAAAAACGCAATATTAATTATATTTCAATTTAACATACAGTCAAATAAAGAATAGCGTTTTAAATTATGGAGCATCTTATATCCAATATTTAGAATCACCACAATTTTTAGAAAAACCAATATTTGTTGTTATTTTAGAAGTCGATTCAACTCTTGAATTCTTCCAACATGTCGGTTTTAATACAATCCCACATTTAGTTTTCATTCCAAGTGGTTCAAAACCAATTCAAACCAAAGGTTTTACATTCACTAAAGTCGACCAAGCAACACCAGCCCAAATTTCAAATTTCATTTTATCTCATTCAAAGATTAATGTAATTTCATTCGATTATAATTATTATTATTAGAAAAAAAAATTTTAAATTTATTAATTATTTTTATTATTATTATTAATACAGATCGAACCAGTTAGAACTCTTTATGAAAAATATTCACAACAATTTTTCGGCACTATTATTTTTATTGCTTCACTTAGATTCATAATCACTGCATACAAAAAGAGAAATAACCCAATGTTTTGGTATTTCTTAACTATTGTAAGTTTCTCAACATTATCTATTCTTAAAACCCAAGTATAAAAATTCTAATCTTCTATTATCATTTTTCATAGTTATTATTTTCAGCTGTTATTATGGGTATCTTTTATGATTTCATTCACAAACCAGCCCTTTATGACTATGACCACCGTAATCAAAAATATAACTATTTCTCAAGAGGTTCAAGAAGTCAAACTGTTTCAGAAGGTTTCATTATGGGCGTTTCAAGTATGGTTAATAATAATTATAGTTTTTAAAAAACCCCAATCTATCAATACGATTACTAATTATTTTTATTAAAATACTACTATTATAGCTTTAGCAATTACACTTGTATTTATATATATCTCTGATATTTTACCAAATTATTCAAGATTTGGAACCAAAGTTAAGAATGTTCTCTTTTTCCTTGGTATGGGTGCCATTATATCATTCCTTTATTTCCAATCAATCGCTTTCTCAATGAAATATTACAGACCATTATTCTTTATTCCATCATTCGAATTTTAAATTCAAAAACATAAACGCATCCCAAAATAAATCTATAAAACGACAACACTTTATATAAAAAATATAAATTAAATAAATGTGAATCACATAATTAAATTATTTAATTATTTAAAAAAAAAGAAAAAAAGAAAAAAAGAAAAAAAGAAAAATAGTATTATTCAACACACAAACGAAAAAAGATTTAGTATTTTTCTAAATTTTAAAAAAAGTATGTGGGTGTGTTTATAAATATTTTAATATAAAATATTAAATACTAAATAATAATACATATTATTTATTAAATATAAATATTCAAAAGAAAAACTATTTAAATAAAAGAACAATTTAACTTTGGGTAAAAAAAAAAAAAAAGATATTAAAAAAAATGAAAAAAATAAAATTAATTTTTTTAATTTTTTTAGTTTTAATAAATTTTTTTTTTCTGTGCGATAGTAATAAAATAATGACTATCGATAATAGCATTTATTTAGTTAATGAAAATAACAATAACAATAGCATTGATGCATATTATAATTTTACAAATAAATTGTATAACAGAAATCCAGATGTTATAATCAAAATAGAGTCCATTGAACAATTAAAAGATGCAGTTAAATATGCAAAGAGTTTAAATAAGAGGGTATCAATAAGATCGGGTGGGCATTCATGTTGTGCATTTTCTATATTGAGTGATACTGTTAATTTGGATATGAGTGGTTTAAAAAGCATTAAAGTAAATGTAGATGATAAGACAGTGGTTGCACAATCAGGTGTTTTAATGCTAGAATACTATACAGAGATAACAAAGCATGGATTGGCATCACCTGGAGGAACATGTCCCTCTGTGGGTTTGGGTGGTTTGGGCTTAGCAGGAGGAACTAATTATTTGTCACCAATGTATGGTTATTTAATTGATAATGTAATAGAGTTTACCGTATTACTAGAAAATGGCGATATAGTTAAAGCAAATAAAGATAACCAATACAGTGATTTATATTGGGCACTAGCTGGAAGTGGCCATGGTGGATTTGGCATAGTTGTAGATTTCAAAATTAAGCTGTATCCAATAGAGCCCTATTACTACGAAAATGCAATAACCTATGCACTCAAAGATACCAATAGGTTATTTGAAATTATAAATACATACATGGAAAGCTTGGAAAAATGTAAACTAAACAGAATAGGGGTTAGTATAGATACTAGATTTAACAACGTCGACGATAAAGTGAACTGTACATTAATATACTTTTACAACGGTGCCGTAGACCAAGGAGAACTAGAGTTTAAAAAGTTTTATAACCTTTTTAAAATCGGTGGTTTAGATGTCCAAGTTGAAGAATTTGACGGCTCAAAGATAAAGAAATCAATTTTAGATATAATTAAATCAGTTCCTCTTGACAATGGTACATTTAGACAGTATTCAAAATGCAGGTTCATAGCAAATCTAAATAAAGACATATCAAAAACATATAAAGAAATTATAGATCTTGGTTTAGAAACTAAAAATAAACAACTAATCGACTCTAGTGACCAGTTTGAAATATCTGCGTCTATATACTACCAAGGTGGTAAACAAAGTCAATATGATCCAAATATTAACAATTCTTTTATTCACCGAGGTGATGATTACAATTGGACAGTAGTTATTATTTGTAAATATAACAATGAGGCGAATGACGTCCCATTTTTAAAATATAAAGGTGAAATCAATAAAAGAATGCCTATTTTCCACAACCAAATTTATCAAAACTATCCAGATGACGACATAACCAATTGGCAAGAAGCCTACTATGGCTATAACTATCCAAAACTTCAACAAATTAAATTAAAATATGATCCAAACAATTATTTTAAATTTCCACAATCAATAGAATTACCAAATAATAGTAATAATAATAATAACGATAGTAATAATTTTAAACATTTAATAAAATTTTAAAAGCAATATTTAGTTTATTTTATTTATTTATTTATTTATTTTTTTATTTATTTATTTATTTTAAATATAAAACATATATGTTTTTTTATTAAAATAGAATTTTTTTTATATAAACTGTTTATTTTATATTTATAATTATGGAAAGATAATGACGTTATATTAAATCTTGAATGTATCAAAATCTATAAATAAATTTTATTATATGTAAATGGGTGGTTGTAAACATATGTACGTTTTAAATGTGTGTGCATGTGTGTGTGTTTTTATTATTTTAGTATGAGTGGGTAAATATTCATAATCTTTTTTTTTTTTATTTTTTTTTATTTTTTTTTTTATTTTTTTTTTTGAATCTCACCCTACTGGTGATATTTAAAATATTAGAATTGGTTAATATTAAAAGAAATAATTTTTTGTTTACAAAACCATACAAATTGTAATTATATTAATTTAAAATATTAAAAAAAAAAAAAAATTATTTCAAACAAAAAAAAAAAAATATAATTTTTGATTAAACAAAATTTATAACCTCAAAAAAAAAAATACAAGTAAAATAATGATAGAAATAGAAAATGAAATAAATAATATTCCCAGCAACAGTAACAATAATAATAATAATAATAATATACATAATTTATTTTTAAATAGTAACAATAATAATAATATTAATAATAATAATAAAAAATTAAATATAGTTTTAAATAATGAAAAAAATAATAATTATTATATTTTTATAAACCCATTATTTAAAAAGACACCAGTATGTTATGTAAAAATAGAATCAGTTGATAATTTAAAAGAAGCTTTAAAATATGCAAAGAGTTTGAATAAGAGGGTTTCAATTAGATCAGGAGGGCACTCATGCTGTGTTTTTTCAATATTAAATGGAACTGTTAATTTAGATATGAGTGGCCTATCAAAGATTCAAGTAAATGTAGAGGAGAAAACAGTTACAGCTCAATCTGGGGCAACAATGCTCGAATATTACAAAGAAACTACAAAATATGGACTTGCTTCTCCCGGTGGCTCCTGTCCATCTGTCTGCTTGGGTGGTTTAGCTTTAGGTGGTGGCAGTAATATGCTCTCAATTACACATGGCTATATGTTAGATAATATTATAGAAATTACTATTTTACTTGAGAATGGTGAAGTGGTCAGAGCAAATAAAGACAATCAATATTGTGATTTATTTTGGGCCTTAAGGGGTAGTGGTCACACAAATTATGGTATAGTAATCGATTATAAAGTAAAATTACATGCTATTGAACCTTTCTTTTATCACAATACAATTGATTTACCATTTGACCTTATAATTGAAAACAATACAATAATTAATGACTATTCAAAATCAATGGATAAAAGGGTTTACCTAGGAATAGAAAACAGAATAACTGCCAAAACCAAAAAGCTCACATCAATAGTAATTTTCTTTTTCAATGGGCCAGTTGTAGATGGGGAAAAAGAGTTTAGAAAATTAGTATCATTACTCAAGCAACCAAAGGTTATCGAAATAGATGGAGAAAAGGTTAAAAAAACATTTGTACAAATTATAGAAAGAGTTCCTTATGCAAACAAACCAAGAAGATCATACACTAAATCAAGATTTATGAGTGAAATTAATAAAGAATCATCTGTTGCTATTAAAAACATTATGGAAAAGGTACCGCAATTATTAAATGAAATGGTTATAAACGACAACATTGTAAATTTTAGTGCAAATGTTTATTATCATGGTGGTGTTCAAAACAGTATCTCAAAAGATGAATGTGCATTTATACATCGTGGATATGGGAGTTTATGGTCAATAAACTTTATTTGCTATTATTTAAAAGAAGAAAACGATAAATTGTTCTCAACCTGGAAAAACTTTTTATTTCAATATTTAGACAAAAGTTTTGGTACACAAATCTATCAAAACTATCCAGATGATGAAGTAAGCAATTGGCAAGAAAGATACTATGGTCAACACTATTCAAAACTTCAACAAATTAAATTAAAGTATGACCCAAATAATTATTTTAAATATCAACAATCAATAGAATTACCAAATAAAGATATTAAAAAATAATCAAAATAATTTATTTATAAAACACTTTCATATTTTAATCATTTAAAAAAAACTGTGTGATTGCCCACATTGTTTTTAAAAATAAAATGTTAAAAAAATATAATTAAAAAAATAAAACCTCTTTATTATAAGAATTAACCTTTATTAATATCTATTTTTTTATATTTTTCCCAACCTGGTTTCATTTTATCATGATATTTTTTTTTTATCTCATATTCCAATATCTATTTTTTAATTTTTATTTTTTTTTATTTTTTTATTTTTTAATTTTTTTTTTTTAATTTAATTTCAATTAAAAAAAAAATAGAAATTTTTTTTTTTTTTTTTATTAATTATATACACTATAAAAATGTTAAATAAAAAACTAACATTATCAATTATTTTATTTATTTTTTCTTTTATAAATTATTCATTGTCAGCATCATCGAGCGATGCCACACCAATAAGAAATATTGTTATATGGCATGGTTTAGGAGACTCTTGTTGTTTTCCATTTAGTATGGGTAAAATAAAAGACATTATTCAAAACCAATACCCAGGTGTTTATGTCAAAAGTATTGAAATTGGATCCAGTATTGATGAAGATGTTTACAACTCATGGTTCAAAAACGTCAATGAGCAAATCGATATGGCTTGCGAAATGATCAAGGCCGATACCAACTTAACAAATGGATTTAATGCTGTTGGATTCAGTCAAGGTAGTCTCTTTTTAAGAGCATTTGTAGAGAGATGTAATGATCCACCAGTACATAATTTAATTAGTATTGGTGGGCCACAAAACGGTGTTTTTGGTGCCCCAAGATGTAAGTGATATATAATCAATAGATTGAAATCAATGATTGCAATTTCATTAATATTTTTTTTATTTGTTTAGGTGCAACAACAAATGGTACTTTTTGTAATGTAGCTAGAAATCTTTTAGAACTTGGTGCCTATGATGAATATGTACAAAATAACTTGGTACCTGCAGAATACTGGCAAGATCCATTACAATACTCAAAGTTTTTGGAAAAATCTATATTTTTAGCAGATATCAATAATATGAAAGATGTAAAAAATCAAACCTATAAAGATAATCTTTTGTCATTAAATAAATTTGCATTAACATTATTCCTCAATGACACCATTGTAATTCCAAGAGAAAGTGAACATTTCGGGTGGTATGAAGAAGGTCAAGCAAAGAATATTATACCAATGGAAAAAACCCAACTTTACCAAGAAGATTGGATTGGCATTCAACAACTAGACAACGAAGGTAAATTAATATTTTTGGAATCACCAGGAAATCATTTACAATTCACCGAGCAATGGTTTATCGAAAATATTATACCATTATTAAATGAATAAATGGATATAATATAAAAATAAAAAGTTTAATATTTAAACTTTTTTTTTTTTTTTAAATAAACCTATAATTTCTTAAAAACTCTTTTTTTTTTTTTATATTTTTTTTATCTTTTTTTATTTTATATTTTTTTTTTACAAAAATTTTTAATTATATAACTATATTAGTTTAAAATATAATTATTATATTGTTGATATTATTATTATTTGATTGTTATTAATTTAGAATTGGGTATCTGGTTGTTTGTTTGGGAATGAACAACCGTTTTGTCTGATGATTTCCCAAGCACCATAGTGACCAGCGTTAACTGAAGTTTCGATATCTTTACCTTGTGAATAAGCAGCTAAGAAACCACCACAGAATGAATCACCAGCAGCGTTTAAATCAACGATTTCTTCTGAAGCAACTTTAACTGGTTTGAATTGAGATAATTTACCATCTTGGAAAACAATGGTTGATTCTGGACCTTGAGTGAAAATGACGGTACGTGAACGTTTGGTGTTAACTTTTTCCCAAGCAGCGAGTTTTTCAGCAATAACAGCGATATCTTCACCCCAGTTCATCTTACGACCGAGAACGACGGCTTCATTTTCGTTGGCGAAAACAATATCAACGTATGGAAGGAGGGCTGAAACTCTTTCAAAGAAGAATGGAACTTCAATTAAGAATGGAGCAGCTAAACCATAAAGGAAAGTTTTGTTGTTATCAGCGGCGTGTTTGGCTAACATTTGAGCACTATCTGGTGAGACAGTTAAGAAATAACCGGCCATATAGAAATATTCAACTGATTTGATGATTGATTGCATTTCTTCAGTTTCTAAGTGAGCAATTTTGAATTCGTTGGCAGCACCTAAATTAGTACACATTGATCTTTCTTTTGAGTTGATGAGAACAGCACAAGCACCAGTTGGTTTTTCAGCATTAACTAAATATTTAGTAACGACACCATTGGCTTCAGTGTTGCTCTTTAAAATTTGGGCGTTTTCATCATTACCAACACAACCTGAATAAACAACAGTTTGTTTGTCTTTTAACATCCACTAGAATAATTATAAAAAATTAATATTTAATTTATTTAATATAAAAAAAATAAAATAATAATTATACATACTTGAGCAACACGGGCAGTATTTTGAGCAGCACCACCTGGGATGTATTCAACTTTGTTGTTTTCAACTAATTCTTTGTAGCTATTTAAAATAATTTAATTTAATTTATTGGATTTTTGTAAATTTGAATTTTGAAATTATTCGTTAAAAAATAAAATTTTAAAAATATTTTTAGAAAAAAAAAAAAAAAAGTTAGAAATTTAATTTATTTATTTTAATTAATTATTATATTGATTGTTATTGATTATTTTTGATTGTTTTTGATTATTATTGATGATTATATTGATTTATTTTACAATTTTATTATTTTATTTTGTTGTGTGCACAATCATTATAAAACATACAGTGGTAAATGTTTATCTTCAGCTAAAATAGCATTGTTGAGGGTTAACTCATATTTGTTGAGGAGTTCCATATCGACATGGGATGAAATATCGAGTAATGGGTTACCAATGACAAAGATTTTTGGTGATGACATTTTGAATATTGTTGTTGTATATACTAAATGGTTAGCTAAAAAACTAAAATGAAACGAAAAAAAAATATTTTTTAAAAAAAAAAAAAATTTCAAAAAAAAAAAAAAAATATTTAAAAAAAATTAAATAAATAATTAAAAAAAAAAAGATTTTCTTTTTGAAAAAAAGACGAAGAAAGATTTTTTTCTCGCTGACTCAGTAATTTTTAATTAAATATTAATTATTTGTATATTGTTGTATTATTTGTCTTGAAATCTTTTAACCAGTGGTTTTTTATAATTATTAATAATATGTTTTAAAAATTATTTATACCCCCACCATTCCATTATTATAATTCTATTTTAAAATAAAATTTGAAAAATAACATATTTCATCTGTTAAAATTATAAAATTTAGTTTTTTTTTTAATAATAATATAAAGTTTTTTTTTTGTTTATTTTTTTTATTTTATTTTTTTTTTATCTTTTTTAATGATTTTAGATTTGAACAGAATAGGCAGGATTTCTTGAAATTAAACAATCTTTGTCATAGTCAGCACTTATTCTAGCAAAACCGTTTTCACCCCATGAACGACCAAAATTATTTTTAATAATATAATAGTTGTTATCTTGGTTATAACCAACCAAAAGTACATTATGATTGATAGCATTGTTATTGATATTGGTATTGTTACAGAAGAAAATACCACCAGAGTATCTTAAAAAGTCATCGGTAACATAAATACCGACACCAACTGGACCTTGATCACGACATTTTTCAATGATACTATCTCTACCAACATCACTGTATTCAATGTCACCACCTTGAACAACAATATTACTAGAGTTAAAGGTACATGCTGAGGCTCTATCACCAACATATGGATATGTAACAGAGTTTTGAATACCATTTTGTTGAATATAAATTAAAGCTTTGTTTAAGTCACCACTTAATCTACTACATCTAGTATAGTTTGAAACTTGATAATATGGATTTGGTACATTCTAAAAATAAAAATAAATGTTATTATATTGTATTTATTATGGGTACTAGAAAAAGGTGTATATTTACATTAATACAATCAATAACTTGTTGTTCTGATAATTCATATCTTTTTTTACTTCTCATGGCGGCTCTTGATTCATAAACACCAACAGCAGTAAATGCCCAACCTGCTGCACAATTTCCAGAGTCTTGTGGGTAACCAACAACACCTTGATCTCTCCAATCATATGAGCCTACATTATTTACACCAACAGTATAAATATGTTCACTATCTTTTACTTTTAATCTTTGATTTAAATTCAATAAAGTATTTTCGTTTGAATAGCTCATTAATGATAAACTATCGTGGAATCTTGCATTGTATGGTTTAACACCTGAAAATGAACCTACTGGAGCAAAATTACAAACAACATACCAATTATCACCACAATTATTTTTTGAACATGCTGCTTGATTTCTGTTTAATAGTAAATTTAAATCTATTAGTATTAGTTTAGAATTTTTATTTTAATATATTTGTCTACATACGTATTATTCCAAATAATATTGGTATATGGTGTACAATCATGGTCTCCATTACAGAAGGTATCATCATAATTATAATATTGTTTATTTGCTGATAATCCATCAACAACCTATAAAAAAATATAATTGTTGTAATTAGTAAAAAATACAATTAATTGGTTATTATCTAAAAAGGTTTAATATTACATCGTTTGGAGATGGTTCACTATTGAATCTTAAAAATGATTCACCATATGCTCCACTGTTTCCCTTTTGGGAGTATTGTGAAATTCTTTGACATGTTTGGGCTTGAGCAAAGGCATTTGCATATAATGTTGAATCCCATGACATTGTATTGTATGTTCCTAATATTTTTGGAGTAACAGTTGATCTAACATTATTAAAATTTCCTATTAATTTTGTTTTTTCCTTTTCTGAAAAATCTTGTGCATATGCATATCTTGTAATACATAATATTAAAATGAGAAGTAAATATAATCTCATTTTTTATTAATATTATTGCTATATATTCGATATATTTGATTTGTTTTATATAGATAGTTTTGTTTATAAATATCTAGTTTATTATTTATTGACTTTATTATTGTTATTTAAATATCTTTTTTTTATTTTTTATTTAACAAAGTTGGAGTGGTGAAAGAATAATAAAATTATTTTTTTTGTTATTAATAATAATATCACATAAACACTCTTTTTTAAAAAAATTTTCTTTTTTTTTTTTTTTTTTTTTAATTAATTTTAATATAATTTATAAAAATTGAATGTAAAAATGGTATAAAATATAAATAAAATTAAAATAAAATGATTTCAATAATTAGTAAAGTGGGGGTTTATTATTTAATTATTTTTTCTTTTTATTTTAAATTACTTTTTTATCATACTTATATTGAATTTTGTATATATCAGTATTACTCTTGAAAATATTAATATGAAAAAAAATTGTTCACACACTTCTTCCCACATTTGAAAATAAATTGAAAATAAAAATAATAATAAAATTTATTTCTCATTATGTACCACACAATGAAGTAAAAAGAAATTATATATATAACTCAAAACCCCACACTTTTACCACATCCCACCTTTTTACATAAAATTTCCAACTAAATAAAAAAAAAAAAAAAAGAATAATTTAATATATTAATAAAATTATAGGGTGAGTTTTATTTTTTCTTATTTTTTTTAAAATACATAATATTAATAACTCAACATTTTATAAAAAAAGATAAAATAATAATACAATAATAATAACATACATTAAATAACCGAATTATAATTATAGTTGTAAAATATTAAAACATAGATAGATAGATAATTATTTTATTGTATATATATATAAAATGAAAATATCAAAAATTATTTGTTCAATAGTTATTGGTATTTTATATGGAGCAACAATAAATGCACAAACAAATTTTGACAATTCAAATGCAGCTTTAGTGTATGATAGTTTTGTTAGAAATGCTGGTTATCCAGCAGGTGTGCAACAAAATTCGGCAATAACTCCACAATTTGCGTCAGCAGTAGATTCAAATACCTTAATTAATTCAAATTTACCAGCAAATACATATAGAGGTAATTTTAATAATAATAATAATAATAGAAAAAAAATTTAAAAAAAATTTATATTAATAATCTTTTATTATTTTATTTTTATTTTTATTTATTTTTTTATAAAATTTAAATAGTTGGAGTTAATCAATATTCATCATTAACACCAACACAATTTGAAAATGGACATATTTCAGGAACACAAGCAGGTTTACAACCAATAAATGGAACAGATACATATGAATATAGAGGAGATGGTGGTATCGCCGGAGGTACACTAGCAGGTATTATTGTAGGTTCTGTATTGGGTGGTTTGTTAGTTTTAGCAGGTCTTATCTCTGCATTCATGTCATGGAGAAGACATATGGAGTTAAAGAAATCTACACTCTATGCTGATTATAGAAACAACTATAAAGTTGAACCAGTTCCAGATGTTAAAGACCACGTTCCAGGCGAATACTACCGTGAATCACATCGTATAACTCTTAATGATGGTTACAACCACGAAGCCGTTAACTCTGCAAGATACAGAGAAAATCATAATTTAAGTTATGTCAACAGAGAAAACCAAGAACTTAACATTCCACGTAATGCTGGTGATACTGTTCGTACAACAACTCGTGTAACTTCACCACATACCACAACTACTGCAAACATTAGAGATAATCTAAACCACTAAACAAAAAAAAAATCCAAATGGAAACTAAAATAAAATAAAAATTAAAAAAAAAAATAAAAAAAAAAATAAAATAAAAATTTCTTTAAATATATAAAAAAAGTAATATTACTTTGATCAATTATTATAATTATTATTATCTTATTAATTTTATTTTTTTTTTTATTTTTTTTATTTTTTTCAAAAATAATTTTCAAATTTTTTTTTTTTTTTAATTTTTATGAAAATATAAATATTTTTTTTTTTTTTTTTTTTTTAATTTTAGATTGCAAATAAAAGAAAATGAGTGATACAGAAGATTTATTTGGGGATGAAGAGGAAAGAAAGATTTTAGAAGGTACATTTGTAGAGAAGGTTCCATCATCATTACCAAATAAATCAAAGGAGGAAGAAGAGGAGGAAGATGAAGATTTATTTGGTGAAAAAGAGCAAGAAAATGGTGAAGATAAAAAAGAAGATGGTAGCGATAACGAAAATAACAAAAATAAAGAAGAAGATGAAGATGAAGATTTATTTGGTGAAGATGAGGAAAAAGAACAAGATAATGAAGAGGGCAGCGATTATGAAAGATTAAAGAAAAAGAAATCAAAAAAGCATAAAAAGAAACATAGCCGTCACAGCGACGAAGAGGATGGCGATGGTGATGGCGATGATATGTCAACTGAAAAGGCCGAAATGAACGCAGGTGAACAGTTTTTTGGTGGTGAATCAGATGAAGAAGAAGAAGAGGAGTTAATTCGTGATCCAATTGAATTAATTCATATTGAAACACCAAAAGTTAGACCGGTCGAAAAGGTAAATATTTAATCATTCCCGCTAGAGCTCAAAAATAATAATATAGATTTAATATTAATAAACTTTTTTTATAATTATAGGTTATGAAAATTAAATTATCAAATATTTTAGGAATTCAACCAAAACCATTCGATCCATTAACATTTGAAGAAGATGAGTTAAATAGTGAACAAAAAAATAAAAACTTTAATAATATTGAATCAGTTATAAGATGGAGATGGGGATTGGATTCAAATGGTAGACCAGCAAAAGAAAGTAATACACGTTTTGTTACATGGCCAGATGGATCAGCTCATTTATTTATTGGTAATGAAGTATTGGAAATCAAAGAGCAAGATTTAAGAAATGAACAATTTTATGTATATAGTTCTCAAGAGGGATTTATTGAATGTGAGAGTAAAATCGACTCAAGAATCAATATTAGACCAGCCAACATTAGAAGTAAAGTTCATCAACGTCTTTCAGAAAGCGTTGCTAAGAAATCCCTGAAAGTCAGTAGAATTAAATCTATTCAAACTACATTGGATCCAGAAAAAGAAAAAGAACAAAGAGAAAAAGAACTTTTGGAGACCATTAGAGAAAATAAAAAGAAACAAGAAGAAGAAAATAAACCAAGAAAGAATAAAGCCCTTACCAGCGATTATCTCGAAGACGATGAATACGATGGTTATCGTAATGAAAAAGGTGATGACTTTATCGTGGATGATGAAGAAGGTGAAATGTCTGAAGATGGCGATTATAAACCCTCTGAAGATGAAGAATCTGGCAGTGACGAAGCTGGCAGTGATGAGGACGAATACCAAGATGAAAGCGATAGCAGTGATCGTCATCGTTCCTCAAAGAGTAAAAAAGACCAAAAAAGAAAAGATAGAGATAATAAAAAAGGTAGTAAAGGTTCATCGAGTAGCAGCAGAGCTCAACAAGAAATTTTTGGTGAAGATGAAGACGATGAAGAGTTTATAAGTGTTTCTAAAAAAGTAAAAAGAAAGGTTTTAGATGATGATGACGAATAGATAAATTATAAATTCACATCACATCAATAAAAAAAAAAATAAAAAAAAAAATAAAAAACAAATAAATAACAATTAAAAAAATATGTATGAAATCAGCGTCCTATGGCACCGTGGAGATGCTTTTATTTCTTTTTAATTTTCATTTTCTTTATTGTAAATTATATTCTAAATCCCTACTTCTAATTGTCCTGACTATGGCTCTCTTTTCAAAAACAAATAATTGTAAATTTATTTTGATTATTAGTTTTATATAATAATAAAAAATAAACTCTTTATAATTTATTAAAAGTTATCAAATAATTATAAGTTTAAAAAACCCGTATTACTTTAATTTTAAAATTTTTTTTTTAAAATTAAATTATCATAAAAGATATTTTATTATAATAATAAAACCAAACAAAAAAATAAAAAATTAAAAAAAACAGTAATATTATATTTTATATATAAAATTCTTTATTTAATTTTTTTTTTTTATCTTTATATAAAAAAAACTATTTACAGGGGTGAATATATACAATTTATATATATTTACAAGGGTGAATATATATAATTTATATATATTATTTTTTATAATAATTATTATTGAATATTGGGGTATTTTTTAATTTAATTTAAATTATATAAATATATGATTATGATGACTACTATTTACAAACTTGATGAGGAAACTCTACTAACTAACTTTCTTACAATTTCATTCATTTTTAGATGAACTTGAAGTGCCTATTTAAAAATAGTTTAAAGTTAGATATATTTTTTTTTTTTTTTAAATTGTGAATAAAAGATAATATATTTACCTCGTAAGACTTGAAATAATGTTTAGAGCCATCTCTTAAAATTATAATCCAATCAGACCAATTGTGGTCCAATGAAAACTCTTTGATATCAACGAAACCCCAATGGCAAGTTAGTTGGTCTTTATCATACAAATAAACTCCATCTTCGTTAATTTTGATGGTTCTTTCTATATATTTAACCTCCGGGGATGCCCCTCTACATGAGCCTTCATCTGTTATTTGATACTTGGGTTTTAAAAAAAAATAATTGGTAAGAAAAAATAAAATTAAAAAAAAAAGAAATTAAATAAAATTGGTGGAAAGAGGGAAAAGTTTTTATAAAAAATTAATAATTACCTGAATCGTGTAAATTTCTTCTATTATTTTATTATCTTCACATTTTTCATTATTTATCCCAATATCATTTTCGGTGGTATTTATAGTCCCCTTGTTACTCTTTGATTTACTCTTTTTAAAAATCGATACGAACGGTTTGGCAATTGACAATGTCATATTAAATAATTTGTTTATTTGTTATTTATTATAATATAATTTGTTTTTATTTTTAAAAAAAAAAAAAAAAAAGTAATAATATCTTTAACTATTATTCTTTATAAAAATAAAAAATTATTTATCTGAGTTTATTCTATTATTAATTGAAAATATTATTATTTATTGGACAGAGAATAGGAAAAAAAAAAATTAATATATTTTTGAGTATGACAACAGATTAGGTTTGTAAATGAGGTATTCTACAATAAAAATATTGAAATACACAAAATAACAATAAAAAAAATTTTAAAAAATAAAAATTAAAATTAATTTATAAAAAATAAAAAATTAATTATTTAAAAAAAATGTGTATTTACTCTAGAGAAAAATTAAAAAAATTAAAAAAAATAAAATTATAAAATATCTAAAATAATTGTTTTTTTCTTTTTTGGAATTATTATTAATATTAGTAATAAAATTAAAATATTTTACAAAATTTATAAAAATAAAAATAAAAAAAAAAACTAATATTATTATTTATAAACTATTTTATTATTTATTTTATTTTTTTAAATTTTTTATATTATTATTTTTTTTTTTTTGTTATAGCAACACCCAATTTTTATTTTTTATACCAAATTTTAAATTAAACAAAAACCAAAAACAAAAAAAAATTATTTGGGGAAAATAGAAAAACAAAATTAATTTATAAAAAA